CAAACACCACACAAACCCACCGCTCGTAGCACGCAATAGCGGAGCGTAGGTCCCCGCAGTTCTTGTAGATGATGCGCCTCCGCATAGAGCGGCCTGAGTTGCTTCCCCACTTCTGGTACCCACAAACACAGGCACCCACTACCACCCACCGCTCATAGCACGCGATAGCAAAGTGCAGGTCCCCGCAGTTCTTGTAAATGACACCCCTGATACCCACCACCCACCCATACTTACCGCTCATAGCACGCGATAGCAGAATGTAAGTCCCCGCAGTTCTTGTAGATCACGCCCATGTTGCAATGCGCCTCCGCATACGCGGCTGAGTTGCTTCCCCACCCCTGGTACCCACAAACACAGGCACCCACCCCACCACCACCTACCGCTCGTAGCACGCGATAGCAGAATGTAAGTCCCCGCAGTTCTTGTAGATCACGCCCATGTTGCAATGCGCCTCCGCATACATACAGCGGCCAGAGCATCCCCCTTGCACAAACACACACCCTTCCTATCCTATCCACCCACACCCACTGGTAGCCAGGCAACCCACCGCTCATAGCACGCAATAGCCGAATGTAAGTCGCCGCAGTTCTTGTAAATGACGCCCATGTTGCAATGCGCCTCCGCATAGAGTGGCCTGAGCGCCACTGCCTTGTCGTAAAACTGCAGGGCTGCCTCGTACTGCCCCATCTCTGAATACACCACTCCTAGGTTGTAGTATGCCGGCTGGGGAGAGGGGGGGGGCAGGCGTGGGCAACAGGCGTGAGGGGCAGGGGTGGGGTGGGGTGGGGTGGGGGGGGGGGTGTTCACTGCCTTGTCGTAAAACTGCAGGGCCGCCTCGTACTGCCCCATCTCCGCATACACCACCCCTAGGTTGTAGTATGCCGGCTGGGGAGAGGGGGGGGGAGAGTGACAAGTGTGGGGACAGAGGGCAACAGGCGTGAGGGGCAGGGGCAGGGGTGGGGGGGGGTTTGGGCCTGAGCGCCACTGCCTTGTCGTAAAACTGAAGGGCTGCTTCGTACTGCCCCATCTCCAAATACACCACTCCTAGGTTGTAGTACGCTGGCTGGACAAAGGGGAGAGGGTTGGAAAATAGTGGGTTAAAGAACAGAGGACACCGTTTGGGAAAGGGGGCGGGCTTCTGTATACATACAGTGCGTCCTCAGATCTTACGTTTGAGTATTCTAAGGAGAAGAAGAAGGGAGTAGTAGCGCAAAAGGAGAGCAGAGGAAGCACTACTGATACAGGGCTCAGGTGGCTGTGCTGTGCTGTACGCAATGCAGACTGGCTTGAGGAAAATTACCACATACAGCTGCACTGAACCGCATCTCACCGCGTATCTCTGGTCGGCAGCAATAGCCTCGTAGTACTTGGCAATCCCCTCCTGCACGGACCCCCCCAGCTTGAGGCGCGTGCCCAGGTCTGTGAGCACCACGGCCAGCTGCTCCTGTGCCTCCGTACCACTGTTTGACACCACATACCACCGCACTGAACCGCATCTTACCGCATATCTTTGATCCGCAGCAATGGCCTCATAATATTTCGCTATGCCTTCCTGCACGGACCCCCCCAGCTTGAGGCGCGTGCCCAGGTCTGTGAGCACCACTGCCAGCTGCTCCTGCGCCTCCTTGCACGCTGGGTCCGCTTCCAACGCTTTCCTGTACGTCTGGGGGAGAGGGCGGGGGGAGACAGGGGGGAATGGGGGAAAGGGGCAGTGGGGTATCTTGTCAGCAGCAGCAGGCGCCCTTGCAGCTTGAGGCGCGTGCCCCCCCCCAGGTCTGTGAGCACAACGACTCAAAAGTCAACCCACTCCTCTCCCCTTCCTTTCTCTCCCCACGACTTTTTCCTCCCATCTCCCCTTCCCCCCTCCTCCCCGCTCACCGTCCTCACCCACTCACCTCGATCATCTCTTCCCCTCCTCTCCCCCCTCCTCTTCCTCCTAACCCACTCACTTTGATCACCTCCCCCCCTCCTCTCTCCACCCTCAACGTCCTCCTCACCCACTCAACTCAATCGTCTCTCCACTCTCCTCCCCATCCCCCCATTCATCTCGACCATCCCTCTCCTTCCTCCCGCTCCCCCCACTTATCTCGATCACCCACCCACCTCCTCTCCCATCACCTCTCCCCGCTCCTCTTTCCCCTTGAACAAGTGCCCCTCCCCCTCCCCCCACGCACCTCTACTGCCTCTAACAAGTGCCCCCCTCCCCCTCCCCCCACGCACCTCGATCGCCTCTAACAAGTGTCCCTCCTCTTTGTACAGCACTCCGCACTGCGTCAGCGCTACAGCGTGTGTCGGATTCAGCTGTAACGCGGACACGTACGCCTCGAACGCTGCGCTAAGCTTCCCTTGCGCCTGCAAGCACTGCCCCTTCCCCACCAGCGCCTCCGCCGTCGCTGCGGCCGCGGCCCCGCCCGCCCCTCCCCCTCCCCCTCCCCCTTCTCCCGCGCTCGCGGCCCCTCCTAATGTCCCCGCTCCGCTACCCGCTCCATTTCCCCTCGTCATAGTCACCGCTGCTCCTAATCTCTCCGCTATAATCGCCTCGTATATAGCGAGCGCTTCGTTAACTTTCCCCCGAGACCTAAGCATAGCCGCATACCCTAGCGGATCTTTAACGGCACTAAGCCGTCCCGCCGCGGCGGCTGCGGCGGCGGCGGCGGCAGCGGTGGTGGCGGGAGCAGGGATGACCGCGGAAGGGATTAAACCGCCCGCGCCGTTACCGGCGGCGGCGGAAACGGCCCCTGCCACTGGGAGAGACGCGGAAACTGGCTGCGGGTATGTCGCTGCTGCTGCAGCGGCGGCGGCGGCGGCTGCGGCGGCAGCAGCGGCGGCAGCAGGGTCGAAGTGAGACGAGACAAAACCGTTGCTCGGGAAACCGGGGTGCGTGGGCATGACAGGGGCTTGCATAGGAATTAAAGCCTGTCCAGATGCGGTATTTGCGCTAGAGCCTCCTAAAGACGCAAATAGTGGGTTACCTAACGCGCTATGATTCAACCCTTGCGCGCCGCCGCTGATGTGGAGGTTGCTTATTGGATGATGAGCACCAGGGGGAAGAAACGGAATTAACGCCGCGGCGTTACCAGCGTAAGGGGACGGGAACGGCAAGTGGCCGTGCGATAGGGAGATGGACGGTTGGGATGCGCCGGCTGGCGAGATTCCAGGGATTCCGGCGATTGACTTTAACGAGGCGAGCAGGTGATTGTGCTGCACGGACGCTGCAGCAGGTGATAATAACGCGGGGTGATTATGAAGAGAACCAGCTGAAGGGAGCAACATCCATCCCCCAGCCGCCGCCGCCGCCGCAGCGGCAGCAGCCGCAGCAGCAGCCGCCGCAGCCGCTGCTTGACTTCCGTCGTGCTGCTCCAGAGCGGCTGATTCCGCACCAAAGACGCCGTTTCCTACGCTTGAAATCGCGCCGGGAATCGCGGCGCGAACCGTGGCACGTCCTGACGAAGCAGCTGCACCGCAGCCGCTGCCGCTGCCGCCGCCAACGTGCGGATCAGCAAGCGGCAAGCCCGGACTCATGATCCGGGAAACACGGCGACGCCAGCTTGACTGTCAGATTGACCGACAGCGATTTAGAATTCGCATGGCTAGAACGACGAGGCAATCCTGAGAGCAACGACAGGCGGCTGTCGACGTGAGTTGACTGTCTCGTAAATCTACGCGCGAGCTGTAAGGACTACGCTGGCGTTAAGTGTCAGAAACGACTATGTATGTTAAAACTGTCCGTTTCTCTAGGCGGAACACACACTTTGAACTGAACCCTAGAGTCCGACGGGAAGAAGTGCGACGTGCGGTCGGCGGCTTCGTTGATCACCCATTGTCGGAAAACGATGCAGGCAGCGCGCTTAACTAAAATTCAGATAGCTGCTGGCCGAAATGTTCTTAGAGGAGATTTTTGCTTGGGTAACTAAGGGGGATTATCGTGATACGCCACCAAAACTCGGACAACTCGAATACGGCAACTTACTTACCAGAAGCGGCAAGGAGGGAAGCTGAAAAACGATCACTCAACTTTAGGCTACTGGAACACGCTCTGCTGGAGTGGAAGAATGAGGCGGCGTGAGGTGTTTCGTGCTGCGCTGGAAAAACGGCCAAGGCAGACAGAAGCAGGGACCGCGCAGGTAGGGAGGATGCTGAAGCTGGCACGGATGCAAGCAAGCGGTACTGGGACGGGGGAAGGCGGTTGTGGAAGTGGAGGAGGTGGTCGCGGGGGAGGAGGAGATCTCGAGGGTGTTTGCGCGAAAATGACAGTACGCGCGAAAGAGTTTGACGACAGGATAATAAGCGCAAATATGAGTTACTTTTCAGTGGCGACTTGTGTCATCAGGTTACTGAGGCGGCAGACGTCGCGACTCCACTGTGTCGTGGGTTTCTGAATGATCCAGGCGGAAATGGACGGTACCGATAGCTTGTCCTGCCCAATCGAGGGTAGCATGCGGGACTGCTTTTCCCGTCTCGAAGTTTGTGGAACAAGCAGGGGAACGGGTGGCGCAGACTGTCTCGTAAGTTCCGAAGCGGAAATCGACGGCTCTAAAGCTCCTCACGGGAATCCTTCCCTTGAGCCGCAGTAGTTGACGTGCCCCCAAACCTGGGAGAACCAGGAGTTCATGCGGGCAGATTTTAGGTTTGAAAGTCTGTCCAAACCAGTTCCCTCCACACGAAGTAACCAAATGTGGAGACAAAACAGCACGGACGACTCGTCAGTTTTGGTGGCAATATGTGAGTGGCTGCAAACTTTTCACTTCAGACCAGCGTATGACCAACCGGCGTTCAAAATCTCGATGTCGAGGAATTCGTTAAGTAACAAAGACGTGTTACAACCTAATCCGAGATTTTGCTCCTTTAACAATGCCTAGTACTGGCAGCATACAAAACAATTCTGGTTGAAGAAATCAGCTATTCTCCCCATTCTCTTTTCCCCAACACCACGAAAATCTACACAGCAGGCCAGAGGAGAACTAGCCCCACATCGTAGCTTCCACCGCATTTGAGTTGGGCTAGACTGCGGGCCAGAGGAGGAAGAGCCCCACATCGTGGCTGGGAACTCGCACACTCAGCTCCCCTGAGATGACCGAGTCCATAGTTGCCTTCTGCAGTGTGGGAGATGTAGCATGGGATGGAGACAAATAATGAGAATGGGTGTGCATGTGTGTGGTTGGGTGCGTGTGCGTTGAGTAGTAGCTCCCCTGAGATGACCGACCGAGTCCATGGTTGTCTTTTGCAGTGTGGGAGATGCAGCATGGGATGGGATGGAGAGAAATGACACTGGAAGTGAGTATCCAGCTCCCCTGAGATGACCGAGTCCATGGTTGCCTTCTGCAGTGTGGGGGATGCAGCACGGGGTGGAGACAAATGATAGTGAATGTGAATGTGAGTGTGTGTGTGTGTGTGTGTGTGTGTGTGTGTGTGTGTGTGTGCGAGAGGAGAGGGGGGGGGGAGGGGAAGGGTGTGAGGGTATCAAGCTCCGCTGAGATGACCGAGTCCATAGTTGCCTTCTGCGGTGTGGGAGATGCAGCACGGGGTGAAGACAAATGATGGTAGATGTGTGTGTGGGGGAGGGTGGGGGGGGGAGGGGGAGGGGGGGAGGTATTAAGCTCCTTTGAAAAGACATAGTCCATAGTTGCCTTCTGCAGTGTGGGAGGTGCAGCATGAGATGTATGTGTGCATGTGTGTGTGCGAGTGTATGAGTGCGTATGCCCTTGTGCATCTGTGTGCACACATGTATGTGTGTGTGTGCGAGAGAGTGGCGAGTGTATGCCTTTGTGTGTGTGTGTGTGTGTGTGTTTGTGTGAGTGCACGCACGATGGCATGCGTGCATGAGCATGTGCGCAAACACACATGCTCATGCACGTGCAAACGCAAGTACCCACCCTCAAACACACAAAGTGCCAGAGTGTCGATGGAGAAGGGAAAGTAAAAGGCAGGGAAGGTCTGCCAGAGAGACTTGCTACGGAGTCATCCCTTCCTAAATCTCGTGCATACATACGCTGAACCGATTTTTTTTGTCTACCCAGAAGCAGACCTTTATCAAGCCACATACCTTCCACAGGTCTCGTGCATACATCCGCTGCCCTGGATTCAGCCCCATTGCTTTCCAACGGGCAGTGATCCTCAAGCTGATTGGGCTGCGATTCACCAGGGCTACCACCAGCCGACCCTCCGACAGAGGCCCGGACCAAACCTGCGGGTTCCAAGACCAGACCGGGTCGTATGGAGGAGGGCACAAAAATTGGGTCATATGCTATGAGTGGTTTAAACGTGTGCAATTGGTTAACGAGGCATTTCACAAAAGGATGCATTTGACGGCTTTAGATGGCGCGAGCCCAGTCACTTGCTACAAATAAGGTTTATGATCTGATCTGATCCGCTTTGAGTTGACTTGATTTGATCTGACCTGATCTGATTTGATATTATAGATCTTATTAACTCACTTCCATTAGTGCATCTTCAGAAACTTGCACCTTCCTCACCTGAACTCCCAGCGGGTCTGCACAAATCAGAGCATGACACGTGTGAGCAAGTACACATGTGTGTAAAGAAACCGTCGTTGCATTTATGATGGGGTACCATCCCAGGGATACAATCACCAGCCATCACATAAGTTGCATGTTTCGAGTAATGCATCAGCACGCACAAGCACAAGCACAAGCACAAGCACAAGCAACAGCAACAGCAAGAGAACTTACCTTGGTTGAGAGCAATGACTTCATCATTGCGTCCTATTTGGTCAACCGGCTAGCATCCGAGCTTTTGAGAATTCTCATAAGTATACACAAGCAACAGCAAGAGAACATACCCTGGTTGAGAGCAATGACTTCGTCGTTTCCCAGAATGGCCAGCGTCCTGTTTGAAACAACCGAGAGATCGCAGCCAATGAGGAGAGGCGCCTGGTGGAAGGATGCAATGAGAAGGGAGGACAATTTGGGAAATACTTGACAAGAGAATTTCAGACACGCTGGCCCTTTGCAGCCATGCTCACCGTTACTACAATGCCCCAGATATGTGTGTGTGCATGTATGTGTGTATGTATGTATGTATGTATGTATGTATGTATGTATGTATGTATGTATGTATGTATGTATGTATGTATGTATGTATGTATTTATGTATGTATGTATGTGTGAGTGTATGTATGTATGTGTGAGTGTATGTATGAATGTGTGAGTGTATGTATGTATGTGTGAGTGTATGTATGTTTGTGTGAGCGTATGTATGTATGTGTGAGTGTATGTATGTATGTGTGAGTGTATGTATGTATGTGTGTGTGAGTGTATGTATGTATGTGTGAGTGTATGTATGTATGTGTGAGTGTATGTATGTATGTGTGAGTGTACGCATGTATGTGTGAGTGTATGTATGTATGTGTGAGTGTATTTATGTGTGTACGTATATGAATGTGTATGTGTATGGATGTATGAATGTGTGTACGTATATGTATACAAGAAGAGACGCAGCCTCACCTTCATGATGCCCCACCCTCCCCATCGCACCTTCATGATGCCCCACCCTCCCCATCGCACCTTCATGATGCCCCACCCTCCCCATCGCACCTTCATGATGCCCCACCCTCCCCATCGCACCTTCATGATGCCCCACCCTCCCCATCGCACCTTCATGATGCCCCACCCTCCCCATCGCACCTTCATGATGCCCCACCCTCCCCATCGCACCTTCATGATGCCCCACCCTCCCCATCGCACCTTCATGATGCCCCACCCTCCCCATCGCACCTTCATGATGGCCCAGAGGCTGAAGTGCACACGATACTCGGACTGCCTCATGCCGCCATTCCCCACCTGCAGCATGTCCGGGTCTGATGGGGGAGAGGGTTGGGAGGAAACGGGGGAGTCATGATGGGGGTTGAGAATAGGAGAAGTGAGAGAGTGTCCATTCCCCACCTGCAGCATGTCCGGGTCTGATGGGGGAGAGGGTTGGGAGGAAACGGGGGAGTCATGATGGGGGTTGAGAATAGGAGAAGTGAGAGAGTGTCCATTCCCCACCTGCAGCATGTCCGGGTCTGATGGGGGAGAGGGTTGGGAGGAAACGGGGGAGTCATGATGGGGGTTGAGAATAGGAGAAGTGAGAGAGTGTCCATTCCCCACCTGCAGCATGTCCGGGTCTGATGGGGGAGAGGGTTGGGAGGAAACGGGGGAGTCATGATGGGGGTTGAGAATAGGAGAAGTGAGAGAGTGTCCATTCCCCACCTGCAGCATGTCCGGGTCTGATGGGGGAGAGGGTTGGGAGGAAACGGGGGAGTCATGATGGGGGTTGAGAATAGGAGAAGTGAGAGAGTGTCCATTCCCCACCTGCAGCATGTCCGGGTCTGATGGGGGAGAGGGTTGGGAGGAAACGGGGGAGTCATGATGGGGGTTGAGAATAGGAGAAGTGAGAGAGTGTCCATTCCCCACCTGCAGCATGTCCGGGTCTGATGGGGGAGAGGGTTGGGAGGAAACGGGGGAGTCATGATGGGGGTTGAGAATAGGAGAAGTGAGAGAGTGTCCATTCCCCACCTGCAGCATGTCCGGGTCTGATGGGGGAGAGGGTTGGGAGGAAACGGGGGAGTCATGATGGGGGTTGAGAATAGGAGAAGTGAGAGAGTGTCCATTCCCCACCTGCAGCATGTCCGGGTCTGATGGGGGAGAGGGTTGGGAGGAAACGGGGGAGTCATGATGGGGGTTGAGAATAGGAGAAGTGAGAGAGTGTCCATTCCCCACCTGCAGCATGTCCGGGTCTGATGGGGGAGAGGGTTGGGAGGAAACGGGGGAGTCATGATGGGGGTTGAGAATAGGAGAAGTGAGAGAGTGTCCATTCCCCACCTGCAGCATGTCCGGGTCTGATGGGGGAGAGGGTTGGGAGGAAACGGGGGAGTCATGATGGGGGTTGAGAATAGGAGAAGTGAGAGAGTGTCCATTCCCCACCTGCAGCATGTCCGGGTCTGATGGGGGAGAGGGTTGGGAGGAAACGGGGGAGTCATGATGGGGGTTGAGAATAGGAGAAGTGAGAGAGTGTCCATTCCCCACCTGCAGCATGTCCGGGTCTGATGGGGGAGAGGGTTGGGAGGAAACGGGGGAGTCATGATGGGGGTTGAGAATAGGAGAAGTGAGAGAGTGTCCATTCCCCACCTGCAGCATGTCCGGGTCTGATGGGGGAGAGGGTTGGGAGGAAACGGGGGAGTCATGATGGGGGTTGAGAATAGGAGAAGTGAGAGAGTGTCCATTCCCCACCTGCAGCATGTCCGGGTCTGATGGGGGAGAGGGTTGGGAGGAAACGGGGGAGTCATGATGGGGGTTGAGAATAGGAGAAGTGAGAGAGTGTCCATTCCCCACCTGCAGCATGTCCGGGTCTGATGGGGGAGAGGGTTGGGAGGAAACGGGGGAGTCATGATGGGGGTTGAGAATAGGAGAAGTGAGAGAGTGTCCATTCCCCACCTGCAGCATGTCCGGGTCTGATGGGGGAGAGGGTTGGGAGGAAACGGGGGAGTCATGATGGGGGTTGAGAATAGGAGAAGTGAGAGAGTGTCCATTCCCCACCTGCAGCATGTCCGGGTCTGATGGGGGAGAGGGTTGGGAGGAAACGGGGGAGTCATGATGGGGGTTGAGAATAGGAGAAGTGAGAGAGTGTCCATTCCCCACCTGCAGCATGTCCGGGTCTGATGGGGGAGAGGGTTGGGAGGAAACGGGGGAGTCATGATGGGGGTTGAGAATAGGAGAAGTGAGAGAGTGTCCATTCCCCACCTGCAGCATGTCCGGGTCTGATGGGGGAGAGGGTTGGGAGGAAACGGGGGAGTCATGATGGGGGTTGAGAATAGGAGAAGTGAGAGAGTGTCCATTCCCCACCTGCAGCATGTCCGGGTCTGATGGGGGAGAGGGTTGGGAGGAAACGGGGGAGTCATGATGGGGGTTGAGAATAGGAGAAGTGAGAGAGTGTCCATTCCCCACCTGCAGCATGTCCGGGTCTGATGGGGGAGAGGGTTGGGAGGAAACGGGGGAGTCATGATGGGGGTTGAGAATAGGAGAAGTGAGAGAGTGTCCATTCCCCACCTGCAGCATGTCCGGGTCTGATGGGGGAGAGGGTTGGGAGGAAACGGGGGAGTCATGATGGGGGTTGAGAATAGGAGAAGTGAGAGAGTGTCCATTCCCCACCTGCAGCATGTCCGGGTCTGATGGGGGAGAGGGTTGGGAGGAAACGGGGGAGTCATGATGGGGGTTGAGAATAGGAGAAGTGAGAGAGTGTCCATTCCCCACCTGCAGCATGTCCGGGTCTGATGGGGGAGAGGGTTGGGAGGAAACGGGGGAGTCATGATGGGGGTTGAGAATAGGAGAAGTGAGAGAGTGTCCATTCCCCACCTGCAGCATGTCCGGGTCTGATGGGGGAGAGGGTTGGGAGGAAACGGGGGAGTCATGATGGGGGTTGAGAATAGGAGAAGTGAGAGAGTGTCCATTCCCCACCTGCAGCATGTCCGGGTCTGATGGGGGAGAGGGAGGAGTGGGTGGAGGCGGGGAGTGGAGAGCAAGGGGGTTGAAGACGGGTGGGAGGAATTTCAAAAGCAAGGATCGGAATGCTTGTTAGACGCTTTGAGAATTCTCAAAGGCTTTACGCATTTGTGCCTGCCAGTGGAGAAGAGGCTGAGGAAGCAACAGGTGAGTAAACAATGTTGTAATGTGGATTGATGACCAAGCATAGGCTGACCATGGAGAAGAGAATAACCACAGCTAGATGCGCTAGGCGTGGCGCCGCCTTCACACTTTCGAACCCTTTTGAGGCGCCTCAGAAGTCGTGGATTGACCTTGGGGAAGAGAACAACCACTGCTAGATGGCCTTGGTTGGTGCCATGCCACCTTCACACTTGAAGTTTTGAGACGTCTCATAACCACTGCTGGATAAATTTGGTGCCAAGTCTGGGTTCGCATAACCCCTACACTTGCGAACCCAGAACTTTTGCAGTATTGCCCTTCCTTTGAACAGTTTAACCCATGCCTCCTGTACCACGTCTGGCCTTGCCTCTTTTGAGGCCCCCTCTGGTACGCACCGTTCCACCCGCCTGGCTTGGCGTATTTGGCCCACTTGTTGTTTTTGTCTGCAATGCGCATCATGCTGCACGTGCCACGAGGAGGGAGGGAGGAGGGGAGGGGAGGGAGGAAGGGAAGGAGGGCGGGAGGTAGGGAAGGAAGGTGGGAGGGAGAAGGGCACATACACACAAACTTAGAGGTGAGGTTTCGAAGGACTTCCAAATGCATAAACACGAAGACCATAATGCCCTTTTCTGCCTCCCTTCATCTGCCCGTTCCCTTTCTCTCTGGGTTTCGACTTCCTCGCCCTTACCTGGCATTCCCATCCCATCCCCCCATTCGTGTTCTTCCCTTATCCTTCGTCCCCTCACCTCACACGCGTTCTACCTTTTTTTCTTCCTACACTATCCTCGTCCACACCTCTTTCTCCTCGTTCTCCAGGAGTCATTTCTCCCCTTCACCCACGTGTCCCTCCTATCCACGTGTCCCTCCTATCCACGTGTCCTTGCTGTCTTCATCCACGTGTCCCTCCTCCCCTCATCCACGTGTCCCTGCTCACCTTCTCCACGAGTCCCCAATGTCCACAGTGGTGCGCCAGGAGTCTGCCACGTCATACGCCCACAGGGAAGGGTCGTCCTGCCCCCTGCATCTCGTAGCACACGTGGCATGATGGGCAGGCAACACGTGGCATGACAAGGCAACATGTTGAATGACAAGCTATACACGAACGTCCTTCCAAGTGGGTAGGCATAGGCAATCACTGTAGGCTGTAGCTGAGTACATGCATGTCCAGCACACCAGAGCATGCATGCATGCATGCATGTATGCATGTATGCATGCACCATCTGCACTGGGAGAGGACTAATTGGAGTCGAATCGGCTTACCATTCGCACATGGAAAAAAAGATGTCTCTGCCAGTGGCTTCCAATGCATTGCGCATGGTCGTGTAGCTGAGATAGGGATGATTGACAGGCATCAAGCACCAGAAAACGAGGTAGGGGGATTGGGGAGGGCGATTTCTGAGTCACCTAAAAAGGTCCTTTCAGTGGCTTCCAATGCATTGCGCATGGTTGTGTAGCTTAGGGATTGGATTGACAGGTATCAAGCAGCAGAGGATGAGGTAGGGGGATTTATGGGAGGGGGGAGGGGGGAGGGGGGAGGGGATGGAGCTGCTCAGCTGGATCAAAATGGACCATCTGAGTGAAAAACGACAACAGCAGAGTCGGGGCTGGATAGGAGTAGAAGACACAATGACGGGCACTGGTAAGTTTGACGCTAGAGGACTACAGCAGCGAGGCAGATAGGACACACACCGTATCTTGTTTGGAGTGCCATCATTGAAGCAGTTGTCGTACTTGAGATAGTCCACTTCCTGGCATCGCATGGTTAGGGCGACCAGGCGCAGCATGAACATAATAACAAATTGGTTGTGAGACTTCTCACAGATAAATTGTCATCATGAAGCAGATGTCGTACTTGAGGTAGTCCACTTCCTGGCGTTGCATGGTTAGGGCGACCAGGCGCAGCAGGGGGTGACCAGGCGCAGCAGGGGGCGAAGATGAGATCTCAAGCATCAGCTATCGTGGCAGGCAGATGCGAAATATCAGAGGACATGCGGTGCTGGAACCAGGGACAACAAAACTTGATCCAGCAAGCAAGGGTAGCTATGTTGAAATCACTTTTGAGAATTCTCAAAAGTGATTCCAACATAGAGGACATGCGGTGCTGAAACCAGGGGCATCTAAACTTGATCCAACAAGGGTAGTAGCCTGATCCAGCCTGGTGCCTCGCCCAACCTCGTGTCTGTCCCAACCAAGTGCATCAACCAAGCGCATTTCTCACCTAATCTCGTGCCTCAACCCCCCTTGTGCCTCACCAGCCTCACGCCTCACCCATTCAGCAAAGGTGAGGGCGTCAATCGCCTCGTGCCCCAGTGACCCTGGCTTGCCTTCACACGTGAGCCTCCTGATGGGAGGGGGGTCGGTCGGGGGAAGAGCAAGGGGGAAGAAGGGCAACAGCACGTACATTTCAGAGCAGCATTTGATAACGTCTACACGCAAGCAAGTCTTGCCAAAGGACGTCGGCCTTATCTCGCATTGGAGAAGATACTCAGCTTGAGATTTCTGCTGTGTACACGATTTACAAAAGTCTTTCCTTTTCCTTCTTCCCCTTCCCTCTCCCTCCACTCCCCAGTATCACCAAACTGGACAACTTGGCTCCGTATGCTGCCTCACCCAGAATCAAAGTAAACCCAGCTTGAGCCCCTTGCTGTGCACACAGTCCGCACAACTACCCTTCCTGCGCCCCTAGCCACCCATATACTGCCTCACCCAGACTGCAGCTCCCCCCACCCCCCCCCCCCCCTCACCCAGAATCAGAGTAGATGCCCAGCTTGAGCCCCTTGCTGTGCACATAGTCCGCGATTCCCTTGATGCCCGAAGGGAAGAAGCGAGGAGAGGGCGCCAGGCGACCCTGAACACGCGAATAGCAAGTGGTAGAGGAACATGAGAAAGTTTGATTAAGGCCAATGGCATGCGCTTGTCAACAGAAAAACACAATCGGCATGCACTCGTCTCCAATCATAATATGCTCACAACCATACTCGAGCAAGTAACTTGCTCACAGCACCTGGCGTGCTGCTGCATGATGCCAGGTGGTTTTTGAGTCCGCACAATAGTTCGCTCAAAAGCTTGCTGGGATGCAAAATGGTAACGTAGTTGACAACATGACGCTGCGAGGTGCGAGCACTCAGGGCAATGATGCCTCGGCTGGTGAATGCTTCTGCGTGTGTTCAATCCAAGTGCAGTAAAGAAACTTGTTGTTACAGGGGTCTCATTTTAATCACCCACCTCTGAATCACGGGAGTCAGCCTGCCAGCAATCATCTGCAAATTCAGGAAAAGATCAGGCACAGCCGCAAGAGGCGAAGTAGCGAAACAAGAGGAAGAAAAGGTGGAAACGTTTCAGGTATAAGGGGTATCCATTTAAATACAAAACTGACGTAAAACGCGGCTGAAGCAGCATGTACAGCCCAAACCAGTTGGCTTCAGATTCACCAATTAAATTAAAAGCAGGATGGACAAGGGATGATGTGATTCACTTATGTTCACATAGACGTAGCCAAGGGCTGCTAGCCCAGATGACACGAGCTTGTCCGCTGCAAGAAACAAGAACAACACGAGGGTGGGGTGTGAGAAGCGGTTGGACAAGAAGCTGAAAATAGTGGTTGGTATGGAAGCTTTCTATCAGCTGGAGGCGGATATCAATCGCAGGATGAGAGGCGACGAGGTTGAAGTTGTTGCAGGTAGCTTCGTGGATATCAATCATGAAGGACACCCACGGAAAAACGATGAAAAGAGTTTGGTCGATGGATTCAAGCACAGAAACAGCATGGTGAGAACCTTTACCTGCAGCTTTCACAATGTCTTCGTTAACATTGCACTGGAAGTGGTTCCAGCTGTTCCATCTGCCAAATTATGACACACGGATATGACATCTTAGTACCAGAAAAATTTAGTTCCATCTGTCGCATCATCCCACACGGACATTGCAGCACCGTTGTACAACAACAGATGTAACAGCCTAGGTAAGCTCACCTTACCTATAAGAAGGAGACACTGGACGACAAAAGCTACGTTTCGGTATTCCGATGGATCAGGAACAGATTTTATCTCATGAAGTATTACGTGTGTAACCGCTTTCGTGAGCGTGACGAAGAGATTCAAGTACTTCGTTATTCCGAGCTTGTATGGTTACCCGAGCGGCGGAGTTCGCGAGAACTTTCGATCTCGATGCACGATTCCAGAAAAGTCGAGCTTCTCTTTCCGACCAAGGCTCAGAACAGTCGAAACGGATGCCTGTTCGCTAATAGCCGAAGCTTTATGGAAGACTATGGCGAGACAGAAGCACATCGACAAGAACGAGGCCTCCATCTTTCGGTCGGACATTGCGCTGACACGAGAAGCTGAAATGCGTGTCGAAGCAAACAAGGAGCAGAAAATCGTTTTTAAAGCTCCGGTATACATTTGAAAGGAGGGGTTCAAAATATTTTGAAATTTGAAAAGTTGCCCCAAACCTGTGGGGCGCACTCCCTAAACCCCAAACCCTGCCGACAAATGTATGACTAGTAATTGAAGCGAACGAAGAAGCTAGGAATTGCTACGCGTCGCATTCAGTCACTAGCCTCTCCTGTAGGTGTTCAAGATCCCTCACACTCCAAAGTTTGTACAGATTGCTGAGCTTATCTGGTTCTAAAATCCCAATGTTGGGCAATCCAGGTAATGTGGCAGACTGGCTGTTGGGCCATCAAGCGTGGCTGCTTGCTCGGCTGTCAATTCAACTTCTCCCTGTGCATTTTCGCGTGGACTTTCAGACGACATGGCAGGACCGGGAATGGAAGTAACCTGGGGAAGACATCAAGGTGAATGTGAGGGGTGAATGATCCCTTGGTTTGGTTTGACTTCCCTTGGGAGAACCGAGCCAGATGTTGAAGGGCGATTCAACGCCGTCGATCACCTGAAATCGACGGATATCCTCAACAAAGAGGTTGTGCATGGTGGGGGATGGGGTGAGGGGTGAACGGACTGAACAACTGACAAGAGGTGATGTAGGTCTCTTTCAGGAACGCGGATTTGGACTGGAACAATGACATATGGTTTAGACAGCACCACAGAACTGGAACAGTGACATATTGTTTAGACAGCACCACAGAACCCGAACAGAAACTGCACCTTGAATGCACTAAGTTGTTCTGTCGAGTACAGTAGTTGAAATCTGCAGCTGAAACAAAAGCTGATCGAATTCGTCAACTACAAATTCATCCTCCCCGAACGAGAATCCTGTCCCAGCCATAGATGAGGTGTGAAGCCCGTTCTGTGACATAAGCTCCACGTCACCATGATCTAATCCAGCCCGACCCCAAAACCAATTCAGCAAGAACTGTCCCGAAAAGAAGATGTGAGCAATATAAGGATCTGATGCACGCACCACTGACAATGATATATCCACCACACTGATCATTTGAGAAGATGTGGTAACAGCCCAACTTCAGTTGAATTAAGCATCTGGTCTGCCCCAGATAACACGAATCAGGCTTATGTTACGAGCGAGCCAGATAACATGAATTGGGCAACTGGTGCGGGTCCGAGAACAAGCAGTCGCAAGTTATGGCTCACAACACAAGCACTCAACTCTCCAGAGACGGCAGAATTCAAGGTGGGTTTCTGCACCACAGAAGAAGCACGGGTAGCAGATACACGAGAAGAAAGATCTTGCTGGTTGTGTGTGAATTAGTAAGTGCCTGCATGAATGCGTGCATGTGTTTGCACACACGTCATTTGGAAGGGGGAGGAAGAGGGACAGCGAAGGAGAGTGAAACGAAGAGGGTGGGAAGGTTTGAGAATTGTGCGTGCGCGGAACAGAGCACGGTTTGTGTGTGTGTGTGTGTGTGTGCGTGTGTGTGTGTGTGTGTTTGTGTGCGTGTGTGTATGTGTGTGTGTGTGTGTGTGTGTGTGTGTGCGCGTGCGCGCAGAAGGAGATGAACACCAGCCCGCCAAACATGCACCCCGCCAGTAGAATGTTGCGCTCCTAAATGATAGTGGAAAAGGGAGGATGGATAGATTAAAGGGTGGGGGGATGGGAGGGGGGAAGGGAAGAGGAGGGTAGGAGGGTAGAGGGGGTGAGGAAGGGAGGGTGGGGGACAAAATAAGCGGATAATATTGCTTATGAGCTAGAAGCGCCTTACAGACAGGGCATGTTTCTCATCTGAGTGAAAAAGCATTGCCGGGTTCTCTTTCCTTGCAATGCACCCACTGCATTGCACCCACTGCAATGCACCCACTGCATTGCGCACTGCGCCCACTGCACTGCGCCCACCACACTGCGCCCACCGCACGGGAGCACACGGCAGGGCACGGGAGCACACGGGAGGACACGGGAGCTGACAGCAGCAGACGGCAACGCAGCTGCACACAGCAACACAACAACGCCAGCAGACAGGACCGATCAGCCGTACTGCCGTGCAAGCTACATCGGGCCTTCTGCCTGAAGCAAAGGTGACAATTGGCTCCAATGCAATCTCGGTGGTGCTCCGTTTCTAGCACTGCCATTAATTGCGGTAAAACCGTGACAGTAGCAGAAACAACACGCATATTTTGCACAAAAGAGCATAAGGGGGCTCCAAAAAGGGACCCTGACACTCTCTATCCTGGCATCGCTGATCTTTACACTGTTTATTTTGACTCTAGACTCAGCACACACCCAGGTGAACCTTGTCATAAAAACTCGGAATCCGAAATCACAAGATACAGCATGAGAAGAAGGGCAGGAACTTTGCAGAACTACCTTCAGTTTTCACGATCTCTTCAGTGACGTTGAGAGGAAGGGCTGGTGCTTGTACTATCTCGGGTTTTCACAATTTCTTTAGTGACATTGCATCCGAAATAGTTCCAGCTGTTCCACCTGCCACGTCACACGGCACGTCACATGCCACGTCACATGTCACGTCACGAAAATAAGTAAAGCATGCAACAGGTGCGGCGATGTGACAGGAGCTTTTGACATGATCGGTTTTGCCAGCGGTGTTACCCGAGTGGCGGAGTTTGTCACAGAATTAATAAGCCAATAGGGCAATATGATTGCTTATAGATAGCCTTATATAATTGCGTGACAGGACAGTGTAGTGTAGGAAGAACCATCAGCAGAAAATAGCGAAACAAAGCAACGGCAAGATGCCGAGCCTAGGACGAACCGATCAAAGCGGGAAAGGCGTGAAAAGGTGTAACGGATGGCTGAGCAACGGTAAGTGTTTCCCTACTTAGGAATGATGCTGGCGTCGGCCAGCCTGCTTGCTTGTTTGTTTTCTCACTGTTAGCAAATGGATTCTGGAGACCTAGCTACCGAGAAGCCCTTTCAAGCAGGCAGTCAGCCGAGCATAGCCAGCCAGTAGCGAGGAGCACCTATCATCTCATTTACAAACAAGCAAGGAATGAATGATAGCGTACAACTGAGATCCGGTTTTAGTTACCAGCGCAGGACCATGGAGACGACGCAAGCAACGCCAGGATGGCGGGCGCATGCTAGCAGCATCAAGTAAGAAGATAAGAGCGAGCGCACATCACGTAGTAGCGAATCGCCGACGTATCGGACACCGCACCAACGCGAACGAACGGATCTGAGGCGAGAAGTTGGAGGGAAGCCACTGGTCGCGTCAGACCCAGGGACGGTGCAACCGGACGCACGATGGGCCCGGGAAGCGCAGGAACGCTTGAAGGCACAAGAAGCCCGCGAATCGCCACTAACGATGTCGGGGATGCGAGCAACGGTGTCGTCGCCACCTCGGCAGTGGAGTCGAAGAGGACTCGAGGAGCGACCCAGCCCACGGGGGAACCAGGAATTGGTGGCAAGCCGGTCTCCGATGGGACTACGAGAGGAAGAAGGAGGTCCACAGCATACCCGTCGTTGAAATTCCGCCTCGCTGCCGAAGGTGGAAGTAGCGGACCGATACACTGGGATACCAGGGATGGGGCCGACCCTGAAGAACTACGTCATGCAGCTAGAGACGGCGCAATATTGCAGGAGTTCTTCCGGAAGATGGTGGTTACGCTAGCAGGAGAAGCGGAAACCTTCTACCGTATGGTGCGAAGGGAGATCCTGGACGAGCTGGAGCAAGGGATTATTGAGAACCCGACGGAGTGATTCGTACAATTGTTAAAACGCGAGTTCATTGGCCAGACCAAAGCATGGCTGGAAGAATTCAGGGAGTTCCGGAGGCGCAAGGAAGAGTCCCTCCTGGCCTACTACAATCGGCTGCAAGAGTTGGCCGAAGACTTGGAGAAGCAGGACGAGCGCCTGCTAGTCCAGAAGTTTGTGCGCGGCCTCGACGACGAGCTACGGCCCGTGGTGCGGATGGCAGTGTACGGAATAGGAGCTGACGTGACTCTGAAGGAAGTGTACAGAGTGGCGAAGCGGACAGAACACGCGCAATGCTTGCTGGAGCTGGATGACGGAGAGGCGCGGCCGAAGGCGAAACCCAGCTGGGCGGCAGCGGCCTTGCCGGAAGCTGAGAAGAGCACGCGAGAGCGCGGAGACCCGCGAAGATGCCACACTTACGGAGAGCCGGGGCATATGCGGAGGGACTGCCCGAGTGCACCCGTGTGTGACCACTGCGGACGAAGGGGACATCGGTCAACGGACTGCCATCAAAAGAAGGGTAGCGCAAAGGGACCGTCTAAGGAAGATCTGCAGGCAGAGATCCGGAAACTGCAAGCTTAGTTGGAGCGGATGCCGAAATTGAGTACGGGAAACAGGGCTATGTTAGCCATCGAGGAAGTGGCGGAGGAGGAACTGCCGGAGGAAGAATTGGTGAGGGAGTACGGGTTCATGGCGTACCCTCGAGAGCGTAGTGATATTGCCTTGAGGCCGCGGTCGGAACTCTTGGAGGAGTCGAGCACTACTAACAGGAGGGAGAGAGGCACCCAAAGGAGGGAAAGCGGGACGAAAAGTGACATGAGGCGACATCCGAATGAGAGGCTAGTGTGTCAAGCCTCGGTGCTGATAGCCGAGAAGGGAAGCCTGACAGTGGGAGGTTTGCCGGTGGCACAGTCAATTATAGACATGGGGGCTCACAACGTACTTATCGGAAAAGGGCTAGCAAGGCAGCTGAAGCTGGACCGGCCGGAGCGGCAAGTGGAAAGGGGCATCTTACTAATGACGACGGAGGGTGGAGCGCGGAAATGGATGCCCAGTACGAAGCTTCCAGTGGAAATCACCCTCCTGCCTGGGACCGAGAAGGAATGCTGCATACGTCTGCGGTGCAGTATTTCACAATCCGAGGACTATGACGTCCTGGTAGGCATGGAGTTGCTGTACAAGGTGGGCGCGACTATCTGTACCTGGCAGGAGAAGGTACTGTACCGCGTACAGTACTGGGATC